GGAACTATTCGGGCACTATGCCAGGTGGAGGCTTGGGCGGCATTATCTGGAGGGCTAAGGGTTGGGAGGCCTGCAGGACCACCAAAACACTGGAAATGCGCACGAAGAATAGGACTTTGTGCTGCAGGAGGCATTGGGGAGTGATCTGCGGGGCAGGGTTTGGAATGCAAAAGGGGGGGTTTAAGGAAGGATCTGCAGAGTTTAGGGCAGGATCTGCAAGGCAGGATTTGGGGGAGGGTCCGCAAGCAAGCGTTTGGAGGAGCATACACGAAAAACATGAGGGGTGGCATGTGCAAAAAAATTGTAGGGTAGTCTATCTACAAGTTTACGGGGGCCTTGGCCATGCGAGGGTTTAGGGAAAGATCAGGCAGGACTTCGGGGAGGATCTATAACGAGACTTTATGAAGGAGTTATGGTTTTTATCGAGTGCAGCAGCAGTCAGTCATTGACAGTCTTCTTGTTTGCATATTCAGAAACCTTCCCCCTGCCCCCTCAATTTCAATGTGTGCCGCAATGTGTGCCGCAATGCCCATTGGGCGCTTCTATGTAAACATTGAATTTGGGGGGAGCGGGGGGTTTGGAAAGTTTCAAGATTTGTGGACAAACAATTCCAAAATTGTACTATCGCACGAGGCCATTTTCAGTGTTCGAAAAACAACGAAAACTGTAGGACGCATTAAGGTACCCCCATAGTCAGTTGCCGCCTTGCTTGCCATGCTGTGGTATTTATGACAAGTAGTTGTCATGACATCATGGTCAACAGTCTCAAGCTGACCACGCACAGACCCCGCGCATAGCTACAAGGTTGTTTTTCGAGCAAAGTTCCAACCCAATTGGGAGCGTCTTTGTCCAAAGGTTTTCGATCCATTCTAGAGCCCATTTTCGAGCTCCAAAAACGAAGCCCAAAATGGGGTCTCCCCTAATAGTTTCCAATCAGGCGGTCTCAGCTTTGGGAACAAATTTTTGGCCGCAAAATGGGGACCAACCCGAAGCTCAAAAACTGCGGAATTCTGCGAGGGAGACGTGTTTGAAGCTTTACCAAAGTTTTGCCCGACATGCGGCGACCAGTGTCGCGAGCGACCGCGTCTGTTGAAATCAATCAAAACGCTCCGTTGTTACCCTGGTGATTGGGCTTGTGCTGCTTAAGCACCGTTGTTTGCCACTGTAACTGTCAATTGCCGCCTTGCTTGCCATGCTGTGGTGTTTATGACAAGTAGTTGTCATGACATCATGGTCAACAGTCCCAAGCTGACCACGCACAGACCCCGTGCATAGCTACAAGGTTGTTTTTCGAGCAAAGTTCCAATCCAATTGGGAGCGTCTTTGTCCAAAGGTTTTCGATCCAGCTCATTTTCGAGCTCCAAAAACGAAGCCCAAAATGGGGTCTCTCCTAATAGTTTCCAATCAGGCGGTCTCAGCTTTGGGAACCAATTTTTGGCCTCAAAATGGGGACCAACCCGAGCTCAAAAACTGCGGAATTCTGCGAGGGAGACGTGTTTGAAGCTTTACCAAAGTTTTGCCCGACATGCGGCGACCAGTGTCGCGAGCGACCGCGTCTGTTGAAATCAATCAAAACGCTCCGTTGCTAGCCTGGTGATTGGGCTTGTGCTGCTTAAGCACCGTTGTTTGCCACTGTAACTGTGGGGGTACTCTGATGTGTCCTACGTTTTTTGTTGTTTTCCGGGCCCCGAAAATGGGCGCGTAAAGCTCGTCGAAAGTGTGGCAGGGTAGGGAAGCCCTGGACGGAGGTTTTCAGGCCTGGAGAAGTGTTGGAAATGTATTTGGGCACTATGAAGGGTTCATTCGGGCACTATTTCGGGCACTATTTCGGGCACTATTCGGGCACTATTCGGGCACTATGCCAGGTGGAGGCTTGGGCGGCATTATCTGGAGGGCTACGGGTTGGGAGGCCTGCAGGACCACCAAAACACTGGAAATGCGCACGAAGAATAGGAATTTGTGCTGCAGGAGGCATTGGGGAGTGATCTGCGGGGCAGGGTTTGGAATGCAAAAGGGGGGGTTTAGGGAAGGATCTGCAGAGTTTAGGGTAGGATCTGCAAGGCAGGATTTGAGGAATTTGGGGGGGGTCCGCAAGCAAGCGTTTGGAGGAGCATACACGAAAAACATGAGGGGTGGCATGTGCAAAAAATTGTAGGGTAGTCTATCTAGAAGTTTACGGGGGCCTTGGCCATGCGAGGGTTTAGGGAAAGATCAGGCAGGACTTCGGGGAGGATCTATAACGAGACTTTATGAAGGAGTTATGGTTTTAATCGAGTGCAGCAGCAGTCAGTCATTGACAGTCTTCTTGTTTGCATATTCAGAAACCTCCCCCCCGCCCCCTCAATTTCAATGTGTGCCGCAATGTGTGCCGCAATGCTCATTGGGCGCTTTTATGTAAACATTGAA